AAAGCTCACATTAAGTTACTTGGCCAAAGTTGCACAAATTGTCCATAACAAACACAGGATTTGAATTGAGGTCCACTGACTACAAACGTGGCATTCTTTCCACTGCACCACAATGCTCCCTGTGAGTTCAATATAAATGCTGATGTTTGTCGACTCTAATGTCTGATGTCAGTTATAGTCTGAGAGGTCACATCTAGAAGAGAGCAGAACCTTTTTCCCAAAAGGATGGAATGGCTTTAGCATAGGGGTGGGGAGCAGAAGGGAATTGAGGGGAAAATCCCAACCTAGTAACCCCCAATAAAGTGGCAGATGATGTTTGTAGTGGGGGGAGGGGAGTAAGAGAAGGGGGATACAGATCAGAGCTGAAATCAGTCAATTTGAAGTTCTTTCTGGAGGATATAGTATGTGCCCAGCCTTCTCTGGGCTTGGTTCGGGGATATAGAAGCTGTCCTCCCCCTCCCCAAGACCTTAGTCTTTCTCACTGGTGAGGCAGAACTTAGAGACATGAAAAGATAATCATGACAAGATCAAGTTGTGTCTGCCTGTTAGTTCAGCGCCAGATGAGTGATTTAGATGACAGGGATGGAAGAGATCAGAGAAGGAATAGTTCAGTGTGGGCTGGATGGTCAAGAAAAAAGACTCACTTAAAGGAGGAAGAGTTGGAAGTGGGCTCAAAGGCTTACTGGGATTCAGATGGGGGAGAGAGAAGGAGTGGGGGAGTCTAATCAAGAGGAAGAACATGTGAAAAGATGCCAACACTAGGAAGTATAGAAGGTATTTAAAAGAGAGTAAGCAAAAGAATTTGGCTGGGGTCAAAGGCACATGGAACAGACTGATGGGAGACACCACTGGAAAACTGGAGGGTAGACTGTGGGAGTAGCAGCCAGGAGCCCCATCCCTGGCCTCTGCTCCACTCAGACATTTTGCCCTCAGACACACCCCTGCTCCAACCCTTTCCACTGATTTCAAGATTTTAGGGGGCTGAAAATTCCTTTCTCCTTATAAAGAAGTTGGGACATCACTCTAGGAAGTCAATGAAGATTCTCAAGCAAAGTACCTAAGCAATGTTAAACTAGAAAATGAGCCCCTAGTCAGAATCACCATTTTATGAAGCACCCAGGCTACATGGACTCTACAGAATTCTTAGTTTCACCAGCAGTAGACAGTAGACTACCACCACCTTTAGGAACCCTCCCCCACTTTCCAGCTCTCCTTTATGTTTTTTCTCCTCCATTCAAATGTAAGTTCCTTGAGGACTAGGGCTACCTGTCATTTATATTTCCAGAGCACTTGGCCCAGTGGTTAGCAAAGCACAAAGTAAGCACGTTAAAAATGCTCTATTTTAAAAAAATATATGCTCTATTTATCTATTTCTATTTCTTTCTCTCTATCCCTATATCTCTATCTCTAGCCTTTTTCCAATCTGTCTTTCTAGCTGTCCTTCTGTCTATCTGTGTGGTACAGGAGAAGAAGAGTCCAAAAGTAGAGAGACCAGCTAGGAGGCTGATGCAATAACCCAGGCATGAGGTAACTAGAAGGCGGGTATATAAAAATCTATGTCAGGAGCAGTTCACCCTGCCCTTACCTTTCTGCCTCTACCAAGCTCAGTCCACAGCCTCTACAAACCAGGCAGTACCCTGGAGTGCCACAGAATCATAGCTGAAGAATTGAAAGGGACCTTAGTGTCATCTAATCTATGTGCTAACAGGTACCCAAAATGGTCTATCTTAGAGACACAGATGGTCACTTTCCCCGGGATGCCAACACTCCTAGAGCTGCCCCAACCCTTGTGACTACCAGGACAAACAAGGCCTTGGAATTCAATCTTCCCAATAGCCATCTATGCCCTCAGATTTATTTGGCTACAAGGGAACTAGCTTTCTTTCACTAAATCAAACTTTATCAGACAGTTTTACTGTCAGCAGTTAAACTGAAATGTGTTTGTGCAACAGTAAACACCTTGTTACTGTGGGGAAGGATTGTATAAACAAAGCCCTCAGTGAGGCACTGACTCACTGTATCAGGAGGAAGCAGCAAGCTTGGAACACGGGCCAGAGGTTCCCCAGGGGTGTGTCAGGGGCATCCTTAGAAGCACTGGTTGAGAGCATCTCTCTCCCTCTCATTACTGAATCCCAGAGGATCATCCCCTGGTTGAGCTGTCCTGCTCTCATCAGAAGGAAATTCCAGGCAAATGTGCATCCGTGACAAGTCATTTCCACAAATGATCTCAGACAGTTAGCACAGGACCCCGGCTGTCTGGGAGTGACTCCAAGACAAGCCTGAGAGAATAAGTAGGAAAGATGAGGAAGATGGAGATCAGGGTATGAGTAAGTAAAGGAAGGATGAGGCTTGGGATTCAAACTTCACTGGGATTGTGCATGAGTGCAGGGAGGACGGGGTGGTCAGACAAGTGGAGGCAGAAATAAGTATCCAATTCTTCCACAATGGGTTTAGCAGAACAAAGCTGATTCTGATAGAGGCCTCAAATGGTGAGATGAGATCAAACCACCTGATCGGAGCATGAGGATAGGAGACAGAGAACAGCTGGAGAAAGAAAGAAGGGAAGGAATCCTATGGGACCAGGAAAGCCCTGCTGTTATGAGTGCTAGAAGAGCTCAGTCAGGATAAGGACAGAGGGACAGGGAACCAGTTAAGCTACCACTTTCTCAGCATCCAGAGAAAATGAAGGGAAACTGATCCTGGAATGGAGAGAGGAATAGAGATAACTAAACAGAGGATACAGACTCCTCGAGAAATTGAGAACTGGACTCAATTCAGTAAATACTTATTAAGCATCTACTGTGTACAGAGCACCATGCTAAGCAATGGAGCTAGAAAAAAATACCAAATTTTGATGACACAATACCCACAATGCCTTCCCTTGTGGGTTTTATAGTCCAGCCCATGGGGCTGGAAAGAGGCCTTGAGATTTAAGAGGTTTCTGAGTGAGATTAGGCTCCCAGGATGGCTACAAGTAAATTTTGCCCCTCTCCATCACTCCTTGTCCCTTTTATGCCTCCTTGGATAGAATCTGTGTCTCAGAGTTCTTCACAACAAGAAAGAAGGAGCTTTTATATCATAAAGATATCTGGTTAGAGGGAGGCTAGGAAGGATGACTCATTCTGAGGGGATGGTTGGGGGAAAGGGGATGTGGTAACAGGTGAAGATAAGCAGAACACTGAGGAGGAAAAGGCAAAAAAGAACAAGGGGAAAAGGTGAGCTGAAAATTCCATACTAGACATGGAGCATTCAGAACTCTTCCAGTAAGAGAAAAGAATTCACAATATAAGATCAAAGGTCAGCAGTCTGCCTCTATAACCTGGACCCTGGGCTGTATCTCCCTCTTCTATCTATGTTCACAGGCCTCCATCTCCTTGCTGGAGTGTGAAAAATCCTAAAGCAAAGACTTGTGATCCCTTGATGTTCCCAAAACTCCCTGTCCCTGAATAATAATACTAATAATTATTTAATTATAGAATTTATATAGCACTCCAAGGTTGCAAAATACTTTGCAAATATTATCTCATTTTATCCTCACAACAACCCTGGGAGATAAATGTCATTATTATCCACATTTTATAGATCAGGAAACTGAGGCAGAGACAAGTTCAGTGACTTGCCCGGGGTCACATAGCTTGTAATTGTCAAGGCAGGATTTGAATTCAGGTTTTCCTGACTCCAGATCCAGCACTCAATCTACTGAGCCACCTGCTTCTGAATCCATGCCTTGAGGCTATAGGAGGCTACCAGCTATTCTCAGCAGAAGCCCCAATAAGCAGGAAAACACCAAACTTTGCTCCAGGCCCCTGCTTTCAAAGATATTGCTATCCAGGGGCCCTTGCCTCTGCTTACCTCCCCACAGCCAGAGTTATAAACTCTTTCCATCCTGTGTCACTGGCCTTCACACTATCCTCCCCACACCACCCCTGCCATATTGGTCAAGGCAGGGCCACAAGTTTCTCAGGATTTCTCTGGTCATGGAGAAAGAGGTCATGAAGTATAAAGAGACTGTGGCCACAAAGCCCCAGGGTACCACAGCCATGGAAATATGTCACCACAGTCACTTCCTGATGACCCCAACGCCTTCAGACTCCACAGCTCATAGAGAAGATTCCTCTCACCACAGGAAGACCAAGAGGTTAAGCGGAATAAGGCCACAGTCCAAGCCATAGTCATGGGCCATAAATCTGGCTGTTCATTCCAAGGGAATTGTTGTCACACTTCTCCAACCTCTGACAGGCATGCCCAAGAGAACAGGGAACAGAAGGTACTATCAAAGACGTAGTCATACTACACTGACCATTACCATCACCCAAACTCTCCAGTGGTCTCTGTGTCCAAGATCGCAGGTAGCTTGCAGCATAATTGCAAGCGCAAGACTCTCCCAAGGCCACACACTGTGATTCAGACGACCACCGACACAGACAGATTAGACCAAATTCTTTTCGGTTCACATACAGGTAGAATGACCTAGAATGGTTAACGGGCCGAACCCTTAATACCAACCTTTCTGTTTCTCTTTATCTGACTTACTCATGATTGGTGCATTCAGAGATGCCTTGGGTGTGCTTACCCTAGACTGGTTCATTTGTAAAAAGGCTCTCATTGTTTCCCTCAATATAAAAGGCTCCCTTTGTCTACCTCCACAAAAAACCCCACAGACTTGGACCCCCACAAGGTCACTCTGAATGGATGTCTGGATAGAGTTGAGCTGATTGCCTGGCTTCTAGTTACACGGGTGGTATCACTTCCCAAACCTTGACCAAGACTGAGACCTAAGGATGGCAGTGAGGAGGAAGCAGGTGTTTCCTTGATTCTTTTTATGTGAATGAGTGGTGCATGCTATCAATAAAGGCTATAATTAGCTTAGAGAGGAAGATGGTTGTGTTCCTATTCCTTGCTATTTTCAGGCTAATGAAACCATCTAAGAACAGCAGACCTTCTTTCCACATTGCACCCCAGAAATAAACTATTCTGCCATGAAAACATCTTACCTGATATCGATATAATCACTTTGGCAGCCACAGAAGAAGAGTCAATTTAAGAATTCCATCTCAGGGGTTCTAGATTTCCTCACTTTTGTGAATGACTTTAGGCAGCCTCAGAGTAGAAGAAAGTCTAATAAACATTATAATAACAACAATAATTATAGCATCTATATAACATTTTATGGTTTGCAAAGTGCTTTATATATCTCATTTGAGCCCCAACAATGCTGTAAGGCAAGTACTGTTATTTTTGCCATTTTACAAATTAAGGAACTGAGGCTGAAAAGGGGTAAGTGACTTACCCAGGGTCCCACAGCCACTAAGACTCTGATGAAGCATTTAAACTCAGGTCTTCCCAATTCCAAGTCCAACACTATCCATTGAATAGTATAGTGCCCCCATTAGGGTTATTGACAGAGGCTATTGTCTTCTTGTTCCCACAGCTCAACTATCCTGCCTCCATGATCATAGAGGGGGAAATAATAAGGTGGGATGATTCAGAATATGATGCTGGACAAAACTCAGTGGAGTCAGCTCTAATTCCCTTGGACATCTCCTCAGAGTTCAAGGACAAGGTTCAGGCTGGAGCATCCTGTGGCTAAGTGCCCGGAGACAGTCTGGTAGGTCAAGTGTATGGATGCACCGGGGCAAGGATAACAGCATTCCCACAACAATGATGGAGGCTAAGAGCTGGGACTGGCGCCAGGGACCAGACAGCATTTGGTGGAGATTCTACCATTTTGAGGATGACTGGAGTAAGGGGCCCTAAGCCCAGAAATAGAGTGATGTAATTTCTTAATCATAAGAAATTAAATTATATAAGAGAACCAGGAAGTTTTTCCACCTTAATGTGCTTGCCCTGGTATTAAACAATATTCTCTCCAGTTTGTATGAGTTATGAGCAAACAGCCACACTACATACTGGCTCTTCCAATTACCCATGAGAGCATGGGCAAATTACTAAGAGTCTCTGGGCAATGGATAGCATTGAAATAGAAGGTCTATAACATTCCTTTCAGCTCTAATTCCTATAATCTTGGGCTAGTCCTTGGGCCTCAGTTTCCTTATCAGTAAAATATGCTAATTGGACTAGATAGCCTCTGTGGGCTCTTCCAGTGATGGAAGGTGATAAGCACTTTTATAGCACCTACTACGTTCCAGGCACTCTGCTAGGTTCTTCTTTGTTGCTGTTAACAAATATCATCTCATTTGATCCTCACAACAACTGTGCAAGATAGATGCCATTATTATCCCCAATTTAGTTGGGGAACTGAGGCAATCAGAAGTTAAGTGACTTGCCCAGAGTCATACAGCCAGTAAGTGTCTGAGGCTAGAGTTGAGCTCAGGACTTCCCAACTCCAGGCCCAGCTCTCTCTTTACTGCACCACTAGATAGATGATAGATAAAGATAGAGACAAAGATGATCTAGATATAATAGCTAACAATTTATAGTGTTTACTATGTGCCAGGCACTGTACTAAGTAAGCACTTTACAATTATTTTCTTATTTGATTCTTATAACAACCCTGGGAGGTAGGTGCTATTGTTTTCCCCATTTTACAGATGAGAAAACTGAGGTTAAATGACTTGCCCAGGGTAAGTTTCTGAGTCCAGATTTGAACTCAGATATTCTAACTCCAGATCTAGTGCTCTATCCCCTGTGGCACCTAGCTGCTGAGAGAGACAGAGAGACAGAGAAAGACAGAGACAGATGGGGGCAGGGAGAGAGAGAGAATGTCAAAAAACAAAGAAGATAGAGATATAGTAAATCTCATGATTCTGTGATCCTATATAGAGTTTAATATTGTCATCAAACAAACTTACAAGAAAGTTAGTAGCGGGCAGATAGGTGGCGCAGTGGATAGAGCACCAGCCCTGAAATCAGGAGGACCTGAGTTCAAATCTGACCTCAGACACCTGATACTTACTCGCTGTGCGACCCTGGGCAAGTCACTTAACCCCCAACTGCCTAAAATAAATAAATTAAATTAAATTAAATTAAATTAAGTTAATACATCCCCAGTATCTGGAAGACTTGGGGAATGGGAAGAGATGAGAAGGGATTAAAATCAATTGGGGGAAGATTGGGACACTTGAGTCTCAATGGGTAGCAATAGGATTGGTGGAGTCAGAAACCAATAGATGGGAGAGACAAAAGAGAGGAATGGGATTATCTAAATATCATGTCTATGGTGACCAAAGCTTACTAAGTCATAGTTGGAGCTGGCATAATCTTCCTAGGAGAACAAAAGGAGAGGATGAGGAAATTGGGGAGGTCAGCATTCTCCTTTTTGCTCTCTCACGACCTGTATTTTCTAGCACCCCAAACTACCTCTCTCTCTCTCTCTCTCTCTCTCTCTCTCTCTCTCTCTCTCTCTCTCTCACTCTCTCTCTCTCTCCTTCTCGGCTGTGGAACCTGAGGCCTCGAGGCCATATGTGGCCCTCTACATTCTCAAACATAGTCCTTTGACTGGATCCAAACTGTTTGGATCTCAAAGAGCCCCACTTGAGGACCTCGGGTTCCCCACCCCTGATACTGAGTCTCAACCAACAGAGGCTGCCTTTATTCCTCAGGGAACCGCTCTTGCTCACCTATCTCCCAACCCCCTCCCCCACCTCCATCGCCACCCCCATCCTCCTACACCCAACAGCATATCATCAAAAAACCATATGTGTAACTCTGCTTAATTAAGAAAGGACCCCAACCAAACTGTAATTCTGGCTGTTTGAAGTACTGCCACTTGTTCTAGTGGTATTTTCTAGTACAGGGGTGGCCACCGCATGGTCCAGGAGTGATAGCCTTTTTTATATCCTACATCAAAAAGACTATATTTATAGCAAATAGCTATAAACACTTGGGAGAGAGTCAAAGAAGTACCACTCAGAGGAGGAAATGAATCTTTCTGAAGGTGTTACTGTTTCAGCTGCTGAGCAATATTTACCAAGATGTATGCCTCTCTGGTAGCACAATCCACGAGGACATCTGTTTGTGGAATCCACCTTGGGTGGTCCCCTGGCAAGGGCAGAGAAACCAACAATGAGTGAAAGATTCTGAGTGAGCTGGAGAAGACAAGTTTTTGAGGTGTTGGCTCCTTCACCTTCTAAAGAGATCAAGTCCTGTCAGGCCTTCTCTGACATCTCAAGCCCCTGACTTCTAGTTGCAGAATCAGCCTCGGTGGTCTCTCATTGCAGGCACATGCCCAACCCCCTTAGCAGTCAACCAATGTCATTTGCATTGTGTCTTTTCCAATATTACATCATATTTAACACTCTAGTGAGCCAGCATCGCGTTTGTCAAAGCAGAGTTACTTATTGTGTTACTTAGAAGCTTTGTGACTAAATAATTACCTTCCCTGATCCCCTCAGCAAGGAGTGCTTTTTCTCTCAACTGACGTCATGTCACTTTATACTCTCCCCTATCCACTTTTCATATTATGCTATGGATTGCATTTATATCCCTATCCTGCCTCCCTAGGTAGGATTGACTGACCATAATCTTCTTTTTTGTTGTCACTGGCCCAGCTTACAAAGCAGTATGTCACACATTGCAAGGGCTTTATAAATGACTTCTAAAAACAAACAAGAAAATGGCATAGAATTAGGTAATTCCATTTAACAGGCCTTTGGAATACATTGTTCTCCTCCACCCATTCAGTCAAGGGGAAGTCTTCACATGCTTGGGGTAGACAACCCCCGACCTCACCAATGGGTTTGAGGCCTGTGAGTTACCCTCAACCTGATTTAGCCCGTCTGCCAAGATGGTTTTACTGAGTTGTGGCTGCTGTGCATGCTACAACTTCTTGGGGCCATGGTTGAGAGCTGGGTGAACAGTTGGACATCAGAGGTACATGAGTAGCCCTGAAAAGTGCTCAGCAAGACCTCACACCAGAGGTACTAGCCCTCATAAGGTATTAGAAGGACACCTGAGGGGGTGGGGGAGAGCCAAGATGGCAGAGTAAAAGCAGTGACTTGCTTGAGCTCTCCCCCAAACCCCTCCAAATACCTGTAAAAATGGCTCTAAACAAATCCTAGAGCAGCAGAACCCACAAAAAGACAGAGTGAAACAAATTTCCAGCCCAAGACAACCTGGATGGTTGATTAGAAAGGTCTATTGCACCAGGCTGGGGGAGGAACGCAGTTCAACATGGGTGTGCAGGCAAAGACCAGGCATCAGTGAACCTGTAGCAGGCCTCAGGGGACTGAAACACAGGCAGCGGGTGGTGGTTTCCAGACATCTCAACCCACAAACGCCAAAGACAACTTAGAAGGTCAGTAGGAAAAGTCTGTGACCATGGTGAGAGAGAAGTGGGGTCTCAGGACCTGTCCCCAGGCTCAGCCCAGGGTGGAAGCTGCTTCCTGAGCTTCTGGCCCACAGACTGAGGGGGAATGGAGTGGCTGATCATAGGGGGATTGCAGGGATCTCTTTGCTGGTGCTGAGGCAGGATTCTCTTGCTTTGCCCTTGCTTGCATCTGGGTCACAGTTCTGGGTGGCAATCTTGGGACAAGGAAGAGCACTGGCGTGGTGGAGCTTGTAGTGGCTGTACAGAGAGAATGCTCCTCACAGTTCCAAGGCAGAAGAGAGTGCTTGTGGTCACTCATAGACTAGAACACAGGCCAGGAAAGGAGTAAACACCTCACCCTTGATCATACCACCTTGGAAGAACTGAAAACTTACAGGTCCCTAGACATATCTCTGAAAATAACTGCACAAAACCCCCAAAGCTTGGGGCAGTACATTCTCCACACTGAAAGCAGACACCTACCTTAACAAAGAGTTTAAAACCCAAGTAATTGGCTGGGATCATGAGCAAACTGCACAAAAAAGAAAAAAAGTCAGACCAAAGAATCTTTCTTTGGTGACAAAGAAGATCAAAACATACAACCAGAAGAAGACAACAAAGTCAAAGCTCCTAGAAGAATATGAATCAGTCCCAGACCATGGAAGAGCTCAAAAAGGATTTCGAGAAGCAAGTAAGAGAAGTAGAGGAAAAACTGGGAAGAAAAATGAGAGTGATGCAAGAAAATCATGAAAAACTAGTCAACAGCTCGCTAAAGGAAACCCCCCAAAAAACTGAAGAAAATAACACCTTGAAAAAATAGCCTAACCCAAATGGCAAAGGAAGTCCAAAAAGCCAATGAGAAGAATGTCTTAAAAAGCAGAACTGGCCAAATAGAAAAGGAAGTCCAAAAGCTCACTGAAGAAAATACTTCCTCAAAAATTAGAATGGAGCAATTGGAAGCTAGTGACTTTATGAGAAATCAAGATATTGTAAAACAAAACCAAAAGAATGAAAAAATAGAGAAGAATATGAAATATCTCACTGCAAAAACAACTGGCCTGGAAAACAGATCCAGGAGAGACAATTTTAAAATTATTGGACTATCTGAAAGCCATGATCAAAAAAAGAGCCTAGACATCATCTTTCAAGAAATTATCAAGGAAAACTGCCCTGATATTCTAGAACCAGAAGGTAAAATAGAAATGAAAAGAATCCACCGATCTCCTCCTGAAAGAGCTCTCCAAAGGAAAACTCCTAGGAATATTGTAGCCAAATTCCAGAGTTCCCAGGTCAAAGAGAAAATATTGCAAGCAGCTGGAAAGAAACAATTCAAGTATTATGGAAACACAATCAGGATAACACAGGATTTAGCAGCTTCTACATTAAGGGACCTGAGGGCAAAGGAGATAGGATTACAGCCAAGAATCACCTACCCAGCAAAACTGAGTATAATCCTTCAGGGGGAAAAAGGCTATTCAGTGAAATAGAGGACTTTCAAGCATTCTTGAGAAAAAGACTAGAGCTGAACAGAAAATTCAACTTTCAAATACAAGACTCAAGAGAAGCATGAAGAGGTAAACAGGAAAGAGAAATCATAAGGGACTTATTAAAGTTGAACTGTTTACATTCCTACATGGAAAGATGGTACTTGTAATTCATGAGACCTTTGTTAGTAATAGGGTAGTTGGAGGGGAAAAATATTATATGTATAGATAGATTGATAGATAGAGGGCACAGGGTAAGTTGAAGATGAATGGGTGGTATTTGGAGAATAAAATTAAGGGGTGAGAGGATTATACAGGAAGTAGGAGAAAGGGAGAGGTAGAATGGGGTAAATTATCTCTCATAAAACAGACAAGAAAAGGCTTTTACAGTGGAGGGGAAGTGGGGTAAAGTGAGAGGGAATGAGTGAATTTTATTCTCATTGGATTTGGCTTAAGGAGGGAATAACATACACACTCATTGGGTATGGAAAGCTATCTTACCCTACAGGAAAATGGGGTGGAAGGGGATAAGAGGGGGGAATGATAGAAGGGAGAGTAGATTGGGGGAGGGGGTAATCAGAAGCAAATACTTCTGAGGAGGGACAGGTTAAAAAGAGAGAATAGAATGGGGGGGCTAGGATAGGATGAAGGAAAATATAGTTAGTTTTCTACAACATGACTACTATGGAAGTGTTTTGCATGTCTACACAAGTATAACCTGTATCGAGTTGCTTGCCTTCTCAATGAGGGTGGGTGGGGAGGGAAGAAGGGAGAAAATTTGGAACCCAAAGTTTTAAAAACAAAAAATTTTTTTAAAAATTGTTTTCACAATAAGATATATAGGAAATGGGGTATAGAAATCTATCCTGCCCTAGAAGAAAATTGAAGGGGAAAGGGATAAGAGAAGGAAGGTGAGAGATAGAAGGGAGGGCAGATTAAGGGAAGGGGTATTCAGAATGCCCGCTGTCTTGGGTTGGGGGAGGGATGAGATGGGGAGAAAATTTGGAACTCAAAATCTTGTGGAAGTGAATGTTGAAAACCAAAAATAAATGAATTAATGAATCTTTTAAAAAAATTTTTAAAGAAGAAAAAAAAAGGACACCTCCCAATCTTTCAGAGCGATCCCTAGAATCCTAAGGGGAGATAGTCTACCTTGCTCTGGAAACACAATTTCTAAGTGTGTATGGAAGATAAGGGCCCTACCCCACCCACCCCCTAGTCTATATTTGCTGCTCTCCTACTCTAGATTTTCTTTGTCATGCCCCTAGGTAAAGTATCTTCATCTCTTCCCATTCTCTCCCTAGTTTTTAGCTTCAGTGTTGTCTTCCCCCACTAGAATATAAATCCCTTGAGGGCAAGAACTGCCTTTCTTATATCTGTATTGTATTGTATTTATATTTCTAATGATTTTCACAGTAAGGAGGATATAGCAGACAATGTACCTAAAATTAAATTAGTAGTTTCTTTTCCAAGTACGAATCAGGGCTTGATTTATTGTTTGTTGGGCCTAGAATCAGGAAGACTGATCTTCCTGAGTTCAAATATGGCCTCAGACACTTACTAGCTCTGTGACCCTGGACAAGTTACTTAACTCTGTTTGCCTCAGTTTCCTCATCTGTAAAATGAGCTGGAGAAGGTAATGACAAACTACTTCAGTATCTTTGTCAAGGAAACCCCAAATGGGGTCACAAGAGTCAGACAGGACTGAAAAATAAGTGAATAACAATAAATTGTCTAGACCTAAGAAAGTGATGAATAAAATGTTAATGCAAAGTAAACTTAAAAATGTGTTGGGAGCACATTTCCCCACCCCCACCCAACCCCCTCAAGGGCTAGTTATTAAATATTTACTAGCACACACTCATGACTACAATGGTGTTCCCAAACTCAGGAGTCCCAGCAAATTCTTGATGATGCCTAGGCAAGCCAACAGGATCGAAAAATTCCAGTCTGCCTCAAGAGAACTTCATGAGAAAAACAACACTGAAACCTAAATTATAACCAACAACTTCTGAAAGTGACTATGTCCTTCTTGGCACTGTGCTAAACACTGAGGATACAAAAAAAGAAGAGGAAAGTCTGCTCTCACAGTCTAATGGGGGAGACAATTTGCAAACAGCTATGTACAAAAAAAAAAGATACAGACAGAATAAATTGGAGATAATCAACAGAAGGAAGGCACTAGCATTAAGAAGAATTGGGAAAGACTTCTTAAAGAAAGTAGGGCTTTAGCTGAGACTTGAAGAAAG